TTTTTTAACGTTTTTTTTTTAACGTTTTTTTTTCTTTTTTTTCTTTTTTTTTTTTGTTGTTGTTGTTTTTTTTAATTCATTATGTATACAGTGTTCTGCCTGCTAGATGGTTGTGAGCCACCATGTGGTTGCTGGGAATTGAACTCAGGACCTCTGGAAGAACAGCCAGTGCTCTTAACCTCTTGAACCATCTCTCCAGCCCCATATTTTTCTGTTTTTAATAACTGTATAGCCAGGTGGTGGTGGTGCATGCCTTTAAACCCGATACTTGGGAGGCAGAGACAGGTGGATCCCTGTGAGTTTGAGGCCAGTCTGATCTGCAAAGTGAGTTCCAGGGTAGGCAGAAACCCTGGAACCCAGGGTACACAAAGAAACCCTGTCTCAAAAAAACAAAAACAAACAAACAAATGAATAAATAATTACGTTGTATAGAAGTATAATCTTAACTTAGAATTATTTTCTATTTTGCTGCAGAAATAAAGTATGTCTTGGTTGATTATAAATAAATCATATACTATTGCATATGTGTACTTTTAAATTTTACTGTTTATCATTATTATTATTAATTATGGTTTTTGAAACAGAGTCTTTCTATATAGCCCTGGCTGTTCTGGGACTCACTGTGTAGAACATGCTGGCCTTGAACTCATAGAGATCTACCTGCCTCTGCCTCCCAAGCACTGAGATTAAAGGCATGTGTCACCATATTCAGCTTATTTTTAAATTTAAGATTCATTTATTTTTATTTTATGTATATGGGTGTTTTGTCTTTGTAGTGCATGTGTGCAGTGCCCTCCAAGGCCAGAAGAGGGCATGGATTCTCTGTCAGTGGCCATGTGAGTGCTGGGAACTGAACCCAGGTTCTCTGGAAGAGCATCCAGTGCTCTTAACCCCTGAGCTGTCTTGCCAGCACCATACAGGCCTTTAATAATGAGAATTCCCTTAAACATACAGCTCTCTGACTCAGACTTCAGCTCATTGAATGACCAAAACTGGCTTGATAGGAATCCCCGTATGTTTGCCAGTGAAGTGAGAAAGATGTGGAATTCTAATTAACCACAAATGTAGCGATAGGCCAGCAATGTTGATTATCCACTGAGAGAGTCAATGTAAATGTGTCCTAGCGCTTGTAGCTCCAGTGGAGGCAATGTATTCCTCTGGTCACTGGACTTGACTGAGTCTAGTGGAAGGGGAGGAGACCAGCTGCAGCAGCTGTGGCTTTCAGAAGCGATATGTGGACACCTGTGTGCTATCTGTCACCTGTGTATGGTCACCTACCCACGAAGAGCCCTAGCCGGGGCTGGGAATGCAGCTCAGTGCCAGAGCGCCTCCCTAGTACCATGGTGGTGCACATCTGCAATCCGGCACTTGTGAGGTGAAGACAAGAGGCCCAGGAGTTCAAGGTCATCTTCAGCTAAGTAGGAGGGTGGCCTGGGCTATATCAGAATCTGCTTAAAAACAAAACATACAAGCAAACACAATACCCAAACCCAGGCTATTCCTTCTGTGGAACCCCTCCCACTCTGTCAAATTGTTTCTTCCTTTTCCCTAATAAATCTGGGTGTGTGTGCATATGTACACACACACAGGGGTGTGGGAGAGGTTGGTTGCTACCCAAGATCTTGGTCCCTTGGGGGAGTGCTCTCAGAGTATTATACAGTGGGCTATTAGCTCTAGATTTCTTCACTGAAACCCACAACTTGCAGAGGCCTGGTGTTGTAAGCCTGTAATTTGAGCTACTGAGGAGGCCGAGGCAAGAGAATCACAAGTTCAAATGCCAGCCAGAGCAATAATTTAGCAAGACCTTATCAAAAAGTTAAAAATGACAACCACCAAAGCAATTCAACCAGGTTTGGAAATGGACCTCGGTGGTAGGGCGCTTGCCTAGTACTGAAGGGGTGGGGGTGGGGTGGACATTGACTTTGAACAGTACTGCGATTTCAGCAGTCGTTGTCGGAAAGGTTCTGCTGTCTGTGTTAGCTATGGCTCCCCTGCCTTGTCAGCCACTTAATACCTGCCAGGCAGGACCAGTTTGCTGCCCTGGTAGATACATTTTCCAGAACAATTCGGGAGTTTACTATCCTGAAAGATAAGGAGAGCCTGAGAGCAAGGTTCTTTGCATGTGGACATTCAGTTCCCACAGTAGTTTGAGCTGCTTTGAGTATCCACATATCCCCTTTCCTCATAGCTCACCACAGAAACAAAGGAAGAAGTGGCCTTGGCCATCTCCTGCCCACCCGAGTGCTAGCCTCAGCCCGCTCCCTACCTCCGGGGCTCCATGGAATCTTGGTGTTTGGAGCAGGCTTTACTCAGTTTGCCCTCCTGCAGATGGATAACTTAGGGCCAGAAGAGTTCTTGTCCCTCGGATTGCTACCCAGGCACTTCTCTGTGCTCACCCCAACAATCAGGTCCTCTTGTAGGACAGCCCAGCAGCCAGCCCTGGGCTGCTGAGGTCCTTGCTGGCCTCCTGGTGTTAACTTGCATTTTCAGGCTATTGGTGATGTTTTCGGTTGCTACTAACAACGCCCTGTGCTCCCTCCCTGTGCTCTCTGGTGCTCAGGGGCCCTCTTGAGCAGCGCTGGCTCCAGCCCCTGACGCGGTTCTTGGCCAGCCCTCCCTTTATTGTTTCAGAATAAAACTAAGTTATCCCAAACAAACAAAATGCCATGGAAATACAGCTGAATTTGGGTTTCTCCCACAGTGAGTTCTTGGAATTGTTAGAAATTCTTTCAGACGACTTTTCCACCTCTGTTGCCACGCTGTGCTGACAATGCTCGTCTGCCTTGAGTGGTCCTCACTGCACCCCAGATAGCACTGAGGTCTCTCGAGTCTCAGATTCTGGATCCTCACAGTACTCCTCAGAGCTGAGCTGAGCCGAGGCTCTCCTGAAAGTATATGGCAGCAGTGTGTACAGTCTTGGATTTCTGCCTCCTGGTTCTCTGTTCTCCTCAGTGCAGCTCTTCCTGCTGTCCCCACCGAAGCAGGAGGGTTAGCTACAGGAACAGCGGTCCAAACACCAGGGCTCTCAGCAGACACCTGCTCTTCACTTGGATTACAGGCAGTAGCTTCAGGGCACCCACTGAACTTCTCCTCCTGTGTCTTTCTGCAGTCCAGGCAGAAGGAACATGCTTTCTTTGGGACCTAGCATTCTCACAGCAGAAAGAAAAGGGTATGAGCGGTTGTTTGGACCAGATGCCCATTTGCTCCTAAGTCACTGACCACTGCCGCCTCAAGTCACTTGTCCGCTTGCCTCCCCGCTCCACAGACATTCATTCCAGCCTACAGCTAGAGGCGGTGTGGCCTGAGCAACAGGTGGTGCCTCACTGAGGTCTAGGTCTGTTGAGGGAGATGTAGAGAGGCTTCCTTCCCATGCTGGAGAAGATACTAACCATGAGAAGAATCTGTAGGGTGACCTTTAATGGGATGTTTCCCAGTATGCCCTATCACATGTACATCTATCTTCCCTTCTAATAGCAGTCCACACATAAGGGATCTCATTTCATTTTATTTTGTCTTTATTTTTATTACATTTATTTATTGACTTGCTTATTCATGTGTGCCACGGCATGTGTGTGGAGGTCAGAGGACAATTCTTGGGAGTCGTTTTTCTCTTTCCCCCATGTGGATCCTGGGAGGATTGAACTCAGGCCATCAGGTTTGGTGGCCAGTACCTCAACCACACTGAGCCATCTCACTGGTCCCTAATTTTTTTTTTTTTTAAAGACAGGCCTCTGTGTAGCCCTGGCTGTCCTGGAAACGATTTGTAGGCCAGGCTGGCCTCAAATTCACAGCAGAGACCCACCTGCCTCTCTGCCTCCCAGTGCTGGCATTAAAGGTGTGCGCCAGCCGCCTGTCCTCACTTCACATCTTAACAAGCCCAAGTGGAAACTATCATTCCTGTCTTATAGGTAAGACAGCCAGAGTGACTCGTTAGCAAGAAGAAGCTGTTGAGGCGTCTCTAGATCATACAGTTTTTGAATTACATTCTAGATTGCTGGCTTTATGAGTATTAGAAATGAAGTACTATGTGATTTCTGAATTAGTAAATAGAAAGATTTTATACTATGAAATAATGTTAAGTACAAAAATAGATCTCAAAAATATATTCACTGGGTACAATGCAAAAGTTGTACACAAGTAAGCTTGAAAAGCAAAGGAAAAAATAAGTACTTTCGGGCAGCAGAGTTTAATTTCTTTTTGATACTATTTATTTATTTATTTGAAACAGGGTTTCACTCTGTAGCCTATGTTGGCCTTGAACTCATGATTCTTCTGCCTCTGTCCCTTCAAATTCTGGGGTTACAGGTGCCACCCAACTCAATATTTCATTTTTAAACATTTGCGTATGTGTGTGCACGCGTGTGCTTGAATGAGTGCACACTCGTGCATGTGTATGGGTGTACATTTTGTGGTGCTTGTGGAGAGGTCAGAGAACAGCTTGGTAGAGATGGTTCTTTCCTTTCATCTCTGTAGGATCTGGGGGTTGAACCCAAAGTTCGAGCTTGAGAGGCAGGCACCTTTACCCACAGAACCATCTTGCTGGCCCAGTAAATACATTTTAAAATTTTAGCTCTCAGAAGGCAAGAAGAGACTGAACGAGCTTGAAGCCATAGTTCCCCATTCTCTATTTCCTAATTATGACAATTTTTATATATAGTCTGTCTGCTTCCATAGTAACACATTAAAGACTATTTCTGATATATTCTGTAATTGTGTAGAAACAGCCACGTGGGACATTTTATTTCCCTTGACACAAAGCACCAACATGCAATAGTACAATTAGAAACTCGGGCTTTTCGCCTGTTCTCAGTCGCTCTGGAGGGTGAGTGGCGACTTCACGGTTAGAGGCCAAACGTTCTCCTTTCTCTCCACAGCAGTCCTTTCATCAAGCTGATAACATTCGCGGAACCCGCCACCATGGGCTGGTGGAGAGGCCAGCCCGGAACCGCTTCCACCCGCTCCACCGACGGGCTGGGGAGAAGCCAGGAAGACAAATATCCTTTTTCACGGTCTGAGGAGAGTGTGCGTTCTGAAATGCTTGAGAACCGCTCAGGATTTATCTCACTGTCATTCTGTCTGATCTGCGAGAGGAAGCAATAAAAGTGACTGATTTCAACACTGTAAACACTCCTGCAGCCAGGGAAGGACCACGGGCAGTGTTTATGAAAACCCCGGGAAAGCTTTGTTGACTGGAACAACAGAGCATGAACATGTAATTCTGGCATGTAAGGTATCCTCAGCATTGTCTCCAGAAATCAGAGTTAAGCTTGACTTGGAATCAACTTAGAGAGATTTAGTCCATCTAGCAAGAAACGGGCAAATTGGTGTTTGCATTTCTGTTGACCTGATGACCTGCTTTTGGAGCTTAAAGGAGAAATCGCTTAAGATTGTCTGTTTGTATAGTTTCAAACTCAGTAAGTGACAAGTAAAATATAAACTTGGTATTTAGGAAAATTCTTTTTTTTTTCCTTTTAACTTATGTGCATTGGTGTTTTTCCTGCATGTATGTCTGTGTGAGGGTGTTAGATGCCCTTGAACTGGTGTTACAGACAGTTGTGAGCTGCCATGTGGGTGCTGGGAATTGAACCCTGGTCCTCTGGAAGAGCAGCAAGTGCTCTTAACCACTGAGCCATCTTTCCAGCGGTATTTGGGAAAATTCTTCAACAATGATGTGACACCAAACTCTGTGTTGCTAAGTAATAAAGAAAAGGGGCCAGTGAATTCATCGGGCAGTTTGATTTAAGTGGTGCTTCTTAGGAGAGGGGCAGGCTGGGGTGGCATCCTGTGAGGCCCCCACAGTGCTGAGGTGTGGGGCAGACAAAACTGAGCTGGATGCTGTGGGAGAGGGAGAAAGAGCAGCCTGCCAGGAGCTTCTTGCCTCACTTCACTCTCTCAGCGGGCGCAGGCTGAGGAAGGAGCCCAGAGGCGGGGCCAGTCTCCCTACAGAGAGCTGATTCCTGGCAGTGATGGTAGAGTTGGCTTCACAAGCTCAGAAACCAGGAAGTGGGGGAGGGCACTCATGTTTACTGAGCACCTACCCATGCCAGGCACTGTGCGGGGTAATTTATAAGTCATTTAGCCCTCCAAATTCAATGAATCGTTTATTTTTTTAACCCTCATTTTCCCACGAGAAAACTAGATGTCAGAGTAACTTGCCTGTGACTCATGTAGCCCAGGCTTGTCCACTCAGTGGCAAGGAGAGCCATGTGCTAGAGAATACTCCTGTTCTCCTAGGACACACAGAGGAAGCCCCAACTGTTCTTGCTTTCCAGGTCCCTTGGGTTTTCCTCTATTGAGAGGTGAGGACAGTGATCCCGGTGAATACTGATCTCTCCCATCTCCTCTCCAGACACACGAGATTAGATCCACAAAGGTGCAGTGACTTCTGACTTTGTCTGTAATATGGCTGCTGTCAGGGAAAATGAAAGTGCCAGATGGTCTTGAGAATTCCTTCCTGGAGTGAGTGATGACTTCACATAGAATGCAGAAGGTAAAAGGGAAACACGGTTTATTTATCTAGCTAGTACATGTGGGTCACGGAGTGGCACACCAAGCAATTGTCCAAACTGCTTGGAATTCTCTAGCAAAAGACCAAATGTTTCTCTGCCCGATTTAACACCACATGGGCGAGAGAGTATAGCTCAGTGGTAGAGTACTTGCCTAACGTTCTCAAGGTTTGGGGTTCAAGAAAAAATATTTTTCCTGCTAGTGTGGCTCAGTGGCTGAGGACCTAGCTTGTGTAAAGCAAGCCCTGGGTTCAGTTCTCAGCACGAAAAAGAAATGGAGGGGGAAAGGGGTAAAAAGAAGGAGGGGGTGGGGAGAGGAAGAGGAGGAAGGAGAGGAAAAGGAATGGAGATTGAGGCTTGAGGGTTAAGTAAGAAGTAGGGTGTGGTGGGTCCATTCGTTAAACGTGTATTCATGGAGACTCTTCCCTGGACCAGGAGATGTCTGGAGGACTGAGGACAAAGTGATGAATAGATATCATCCCTGTATTCTTGAGTTTTACATCCTTTGGGAGATGACAGACAGCTGAGAGGCAAATAATAATAATTAATTAAGGAAAGTAACTTCAGGTCGTGTCTTAGTGACTTTTCTATTGCTGTAATAAGACACCATGACCAAGACAGCTCTGGAAGAAAGAGTTTATGGGGGACTTAGAGTTCCAGAGGGTTAGAGTTTGTGACCGTCATGGTAGGGAGCATGGCAGGAAGCAGGCATGGCGCTAGAGCAGTGGCTGAGAGCTCACATCTTGAGACACAACCTCAGAGCAGAGAGAGCTAGCTGGGATCGTCTTATGAAACCTCAGAGCCCACCCCCATAACACCTCCTCCAACAAGGCCACAACTTCTAATCTTTCCCAAATAGTTCCACCAACTGGGGACCAAGTATTCAAACATATGAGGCTGTGGAGGCCGTTCTCATTAAAAACCACCACGGATGGTAATACGTAAGAGTTCAGGTTCCAAAGAAACGTTCTGGCAAAGGGAATGGAACGTATAAAGTTCCAGAAGAGACTACACTGTATGTTCAGGGAACCTGTCTCTTTGCAGGTACTATATCCTGAGGATGACCCGACTGAATCAGCCTGTTAAGAGCGCCAGCAAGGCTTGCCAGCTCCCAAGGGAAAGGAAAGGAAGGAATATACAGAGAAAGGTGTTGAGCTTCCGGAGGGATGAGTCTGATTCACTGATCAGGAGCCATTTCTCTGTGGTCATCTTTTAAGTCCTTAATTTGGCTTCTGGGCCTGGACATCTGCTGGTGTAGAGAAAGTTCACTTGTCTAGGGGTATCCACCAGTGAACTCTGGCGTCCTGTTGGAGGGGTCAAAACACTGGGAGCATCAAGTGAAAGCAGGATGCTTTTACATCTCAGGTGGTAACTTATCACAGTTTGGAGGGAGACACCTGAGTCCGCTGTTTTCCTGGCCGGCATTCTGTTGGCTGTGAAGTAACTCCTTTAAACTGGTGCCTTTCATGTTTGTCTATAGTACCAGTCTAATTTTTAAGTTATCTCTTATGTACATGGATGCTTTGCCTGTGCATGTGTCTGTGCACCATGTGTGTGTCTGGTGCCTATAGAAGCCAGAAGAAGGTGTGAGGCTTCCTGGAGTTGTCGTTACAGACAGTTGTGAGCCGCCATGTGGATGCTGGGAAGCAAACTCAGGTTCTCTGAAAGACCAGCCAGTGCTCTTAACCTCTGAGCCATCTCTCCAGCGCCCAAATTTGCCATTTTAAAAGCCAGAAAACTGGTTTGAACCTTTGTTGATACAAACAGAAAAAAAAAAAAAAAAAGATGTATTCAGCATTCTTGTATTGCAGTTGTTTCTTAGCGTGGGTATTGTTTGGGGTGGGCAGTCTGCTAACAAGGGTTGCTCCAGGGCTACAATGGTCACAGATAAAATGAACATTGTTCAGCAAATAACCCAGCTTCCTTCCCAAGTGGGCAGCCACGCCCGCAGGGCTCAAGCACAGCAGACCCCTTCTGCAGTAGGCCATGCTTTTGGCAGGCATGGTTGCCACAAGGCCAGGGCATTGCCATTGCAGGCAAAGTAGAGGCACCACAAAGGCTCCTCTTGGCCTGAGGAGCTCAGTCTAGAAAATGATGCCTGTTTGCCACAGGCCATGGCTTCAGCACACCCCCTCCCCACCCCTGCTTCTCAAAGTCGTAGACTTGCTCTGTCTCAAACACTATTTTGTTAAGTTTCTGGACTATTTTCTGATCTGTAGGCAATGTGTTAGAAAATGCCGTCTTCTAAGAGAGGTGTGTTGTTGTGACAGAAGAAAACCAGCATTTAGACAGTTCCCCAGCACAACTGAGACCCTGGCCTGAGCAGTCCTGGAACACATGCCTGAGGAACTGACAGGAGCCTCTCCTCTGCAGCCAGCCTTGGCGTATCTGGTCACAACAGGATGGAAACTAGAACATGGGACATTGTTCTTTGAATTCATAGCCTGTTAAGTCTAAGAAACACTGTTCCCTTGCTGGGCGGTGGTGGCGCACGCCTTTAATCCCAGCACTTGGGAGGCAGAGGTAGGTGGATCTCTGTGAGTTCGAGGCCAGCCTGGACTACCAAGTGAGTGTCAGGAAAGGCGCAAAGCTACACAGAGAAACCCTGTCTCGAAAAACCAAAAAAAAAAAAAAAAAAAAAGAAACACTGTTCCCCCCACCTCCCCACCCCACCCCCCACCACCACACACACACACACCTGCTCTTGGAGTCTCATGGTACACAGTGGGGTTCTGAGAAGCTCTGGAGTTAATAAATGTCTGTCTTTATGGGTTTTCAAAACCTATGTGACCTCAAAAACCCACCCCTTACCTAACATTCCTATCCAAAGGCAGAGAGACAAACACTGGTCCTTTAGAGTTCTAAGGGAGAACATTCCTGATTTCATAATGTCCCATGCAGCCTGCTTCCTCCTCACATGTGCAGACTTAGAAAGGTCTCCTACATCTCTTTTCAAACTTGACTTGAGGCCCGGCAAGGTGCTCCAGCAGCTACAGGGCTTGGGATGCACGCTTAGCAGCCTGAGTCCACCCCCAGAACCCACCCGAAGATGGACAGAGAGAACTTGCTCCTTTAGTTAACCAATGCGCCTTGGCGTGGTGCCCCTCCCCAGCATGCATACACTCCTGGAGACTAATAATTTAAAATTTTTTGTTTGAATAAATTCTTTTTATAGGAGCATATTTGGGCTGAATATAGTAGCTTACATCTGCAATTCCAGTGCTCAGGAAGCCGAGACAGGAAAATGATTTCAGTTCAAGGCCAGCCTGGGCTATCTAGTGAATTCAAGGCCAGCCTGGGCTATTCAGTGAATTCAAGGCCAGCCTGGTCTAGAATGAGATCCTGTCTTAGGAAGGGAGAAAAAAGAAAGAAAAGGCTGGGCAGTGA